CCATATTAGGTTAAATGGACAGAGCTTACTAAGTTCCAAATCCCACCCAGAGATCTGAAACCATGGGGGTTTCTTGCCAGAAATGTTGGTTAGTTGAATACCTGAAAAATGAAGTTTTACGCTCAGCAAAAAATAGAAGTTATGTGCAGGAAAAACACTGGATCTTTGTACCTATGAAAATAATATGGTCTGGATAATGAAATTATGGATTAATTAAAAAAAAAGAGGTATTTCAAGCATTACTGGAGTCTCAAAAAGCTGCTAACGTGCTTTATGTGATTTTTAAAATTATGTTGGTCCTTGCAAACCATTTTGGTATTCAACCACGCTTTAATTCATTGATATTTAGCAACAGAAGTTCACAGGCAAGAAAAATGACACATCTTTGCCTGTGAAATTCTGTTCAGTTTTTTCTGAGATAGTGTTGCATCCCTTCTTTCGTTTGCAGCCCCTCAGAAGCTTGGCAGGATAAGAACTTCATAGCTAAACACCCATGAGCAGCAGCAGTGAGCCTGATGCACACTGTTACTAGACCAGCAGCACAGGCCCACTGCCCGTCACAGCAAGCCGGGATCTCCCCGTGCTTGGGATGTGGGTGAACACGGGAGACGATAGGATGGAAGACAGTCTGGGCTCCTTCACAACCACCTCCCGGCTCCAGCTTTCCCCCCAGCTACCCTCCCCTCCTACAATAGTCATCTTTGCTGCAGATGCCACTCTTTACACAGCTTAACTGTGCTACGGTGCTGAAGGTTCAAACACTATTAACCATGCCTCGTAAGAACGACACACCAGTTTATTTTCTACAACTTCCATTAAAAACTGTAGGAAATAAAATAAGCATTAAAAGCATAATGGTTTAAAAATACACACTAAAAATGCTAAGATCACGCAGGAAAGATTTGTTCTATCTACTACAATTGCACACTCACATTTTCTCCAGAGAAGCCTGACCTTATTCAGTAATTAGGACAAATGTATGAAGAGACAGAATAATAACCACTCGTGCAACAGAAACCTGGAACTTGTCAGGGTTTTAATTCTATAAATTTGCAGTCTGAGTACCATAAATGGGTTTCCTTGTATAAAACCGATTTTAAATACTAAGTCCAGAAAAAAATGACTGACGTCCAATATATTACAGCATTGCTATGGCTTTCTACACATTAATACTATAAACTTGCTTTTAAAAAAGACAGATTATAAATTAAAACTGAACAGGAAATATGAAAGCCACTTTTTTCCAATTAAAATGCATGTGTACGTGTTATAAATCAGCCTGTATATGACTAAAAATTTCAAAGTTTAAATTCTTCTGTTTCTTTAAAGTAAAGTCCTGATGGCTACAGAATTGCATTTGGCAGAGCTGATGTTCTTTCAAACGGCTACTCACAACCTTTCTGCGTGCTGCATACCTTCATATGACCATGCCATTCAGAAATGGGACAACCTTTCTAACACCAAAGCTGAGGTTTTTTTCATTTTGCACCATTTTGCACCAACATCCTAGGAGCACTTATCAATGCATATCAATAAACTGTTACATATGTATGAAAGAGTATAAGCAAAAAATAAGCAAAAAACAGTTAATGCCAGATACTTGCCCCTGTTGTGAGATACTTGTCGTCATTTTCTGCTTGGATTCAGAAGCCATGTATGTGCACACTCACACACCATGAAACCAAAATTAGAATTTTAGCCTCAAAAATCTTATCAACTAATTCCGACATAATAAAAGCAAAAGCAGACAAAAGAAACATTTGGATGCACATGGTTTTGTACATGTACAAGGAGTACTGAAATACACTTTTACCTACAAGTGACATTAATGTAACAGATTTATCTTGCACACATGTAAAGTACCAGCCAAGTACAACAGGACAGATAGCTGACATTAGGCAAGTTTCATGCATCCTATGTAAGTTACTAAGCACAAATAATCATCCACTGAACTTTCTGAAAAGAAAACCATTGACTGAGATGAAGGACACCACCACTTACACAAGTATTCCCTTTCCCACTTGCCCACCACCCTTATTTTGGGATGCATCCATTGTACATACAAACCAATTCAGTTTGTGCTGGTTTTGGCTGTGATAGAGTTAATTTTCTTCATAGTAGCTCGTATGGGGCTGTGTTTTGGATTTGTGCTGGAAACAGCATTGATAACACAGGGATGTTTTGGTTACTGCTGAGCAGTGCTTACACAGAGTCAAGGCCTTTTCTGCTTCTCACACCACCCCACCAGCGAGTAGGCTGGGGGTGCACAAGAAGCTGGGAGGGGACACAGCCAGGACAGCTGACCCCAATGGACCAAAGGGATATTCCACACCATATGACATCATGCTCAGCATAGAAAGCTGGGGGAAGAAGAAGGAAGGGGGGACATTCAGAGTGATGGCATTTGTCTTCCCAAGTCACCATTACGCATGATGGAGCCCTGCTTTCCTGGAGATGGCTGAACACCTGCCTGCCCATGGGAAGGAGTGAATGAATTCCTTGTTTTGCTTTGCTTGCGTGCGCGGCTTTTGCTTTACTTATTAAACTGTCTTCATCTCAACCCACGAGTTTTCTCACTTTTACTGTTCCAATTCTCTCCCCCATCCCACCAGGGGGGAGTGAGCGAGCGGCTGGGTGGGGCTTAGTTGCCGGCTGGGGTTAAACCACAACACAGCTCTTGCAAACCTTGCTTTGTGTAAGAGTCTGTTCAATACACATGAAAATTCTAACATATCCATTGCACGTTTAGTGACAGAATGACATAGTCTTGGCAACCTAAGAAACTCCTGAAATGAAGCATCTGACACATCAGCTAATTCACAATTGTATCATAAAATACAAGCGAAGATGGCATCGCAAAGTTTTATGTCGATGAGGAGTCTGCAGGAGCAGACTCCAGTTCCCATTTGCTCAGTTTAGAATTAAAACACTTTCTACCTGACTTAAAGGACCACAAAACCAAATACTGAAAATCAAGCTCTCCTTCTCTTATTGTCAATAATAAAGAGCTGTTGTCCAACGTCCCCAGACAGGTCTAAGGATTAGCTGGGTTATGCAAGTGATTAGCCAAGGTTAAAATAATCAGGTACTGAAATTATGAGCAAGGACAACATTTGTCCTTCCCTCGACACTGGAATTGTTGAACAGGGGACAGTAAGGGAAAACTTGCATCTACTTGTGCTTTTGCTGGGGGCAAGCGACAATGTTACAAGCACTTTTGTAAAGCTTTGTCCTTATTAGGATCACTGCCTCAATAAAACTCCTCCATAAAACTGCCTCTACTACTACCCAGGCAAGACACCACTAGTTTGCATCTGAACTCAGTGTCTCAGCTGAACTTTAAACACCAGAGCTATAAAAAAAAGTTTTCACTTTCCATGTGCCTGAAATGTCTGACATGCCATTTTTGTAATTTCCTTTTAGAACAGACACAGTATGTAATGCAAGCTGCAAAAAAAAAAGTGCCTTGTTACATGCTTCAGCAATACATCCTCAATGTCTTTGCAAACTAGTTCAACAAGTAACCTAGTTTTTTCAAATCCCTTAAAGTTATCTGCATGCCCCCGTGACTCATGCAGTAGCATCAAAATTGCTAAGGAACCCTGTGGGAACTTATCACAGGGTTCTGCGCTCTTCATTTTTAACACTACTTTTTTGTTGATATTTTAATATAAATTATATCTCACAGAGTGAACACTATGCAATATCGATCCTTCTTTGCTTAGCTTACTCTGTGAGTGTTTCTAAGGTTTGTGCCACAAACACAAAATTTGTAATCACAATTCATGAGATTGCTGAAAATGGTAAAAGACCTAAATGTTTTTCAAAAAAGCTTGACATATTGACAACTTTGAATGAATTTATTATATCCAACCCAAAACCTAAGCAGTCTCGATACAAAGTTTTTAATCAGTCAAACATGTCACTGATACTTAGTGATGCTGTATTAATATTTTTGTGCTTACAGCCACGAGTAGCCATTTTCCTCATTGACTATCTCTGCTCCTCACGAACACATCCACGTCTGCATCTTTGCCTTGCTCTCACCTCAGAACTCAGCTTTCCAGAGATTCAGTGAGGTTAAGCAATAGCGGACTAGCAAGACTGGTTTTTTCCACCATTATTTGACCTTTAAAGAAAAAGCATGATTGTATGTGAAGAAAATGGGGGAAAATATAGTCTGCATTTACCAGTATTTTGGGAATAACTTAATTTATTTAAATCTACTCTTTGCGTCACATAAAACAGTACCAAATATACAGTCAATCCTGCAGCTCTTTAACACAAGTGTGCTCAATTAAGACTGCTGCATTTCAGCTATTTAGTTCATTCTTAATCCTAATTTTAACCCAGTACCCTTGTCGTTTAAGAATGGCCTTCTAGTATTTTGAGAGATCGGGGGTAGATTTGTAAATGCATGCACACACCCAGAGAGTACTGTTTAACAACTTGCAAGGCATTTCCATCTTGTAAGGGGAGCAAAATGCTGTATTTCCTTATGACATTACCTCTATTCAAGTAACAAGAAGGTTGCCGAGGTATCGCTGGTGACAGGGCAAATCTGAAACAACTTTGGGACTGGCCGCAGACTGGATATTCCCAATCACCGAAGTCCAAGCCCAAGTGTGCACGGCCCAGCAGGGAGCTGGTTCATCACAACCACTGGTACTACTAGCCCAGGTACTATGCTTGGGAACCCCTCTTCTAAGCCATATTAATATACAGAAATGTTCCTCATTGGCAAAGATATATGCTAAGATCTCTTACAGTTACAAAAGAATTATAGATACCCAATCATCTTTAAATGCTTGCATTTCTTTCACATATTCACAGACACCAGAATTATCAGTGGTTCACATTTGTAAAGTACCATGCCCCTTCTTCCCACCTCTTAATTGGGGAAACTAAGGCAGAGAAGCTAAATAAAGTGTCTTGGGAACCCCCCACGTGCAGTTCTTCACCACACCAGGAATGCAAAGGGGGGAAAAAAAGAGCACAAGTAAAATTATATTCTTTATTCATTCCATTTTAGCTGTGAATATTCCTATTATACAAATACAGTATAAATTCCAAAATCACAATATATTACAAAATAAAAAAGTACAAACTGCATTACTTAATAAATATATCTAACAAGTTAATCAGAAAGTAGAAGAGACAGAATTCAAATTGGAAACACTTAAATGTTTGACCCAGCAAACCATACAAACCTCAATTTAAATACTTTTTTTCTTTTAAACCATAAAGTAGAATACCATTCCTGATTTCTTGATTAGAAAGTAACATCCAGTGAATAAAATGTTGTGATCAGATAATGATTTGTTGGTGCAACACCAGTGCCAAAAAAGAAGCCAGGCTTATACAAAAGACACCATAACCCCAGAAACAAGAACACAAACACCGAGGTGCAGCCAAGGCAATTATTGCCAAAGCAGGAGACTATTACCTAGTCACAACATTCTATTGCAAGTTAATGTTCTGTTATTACAGATAAATAATATAAATGGAGCAGAGGGCAAGCCAACCAGGCAACAAGAGACCAGTTTACTCAAAACAGTAATTAAATACAGAAGAGTCAATTGCTCCCTGTACTGTTCACGTGTAGCTGCATTCCAACTGGCTCAAAGGACCTGTTCCGTGCTCCAGGCAGAGAAAGCAACTGTTCCGAAAAGCAGTCTGTTCATACTTTGCTGCACTTTTACAAAAAACATTGTTTTAGTTTTGCAAGAAAATACCCACAATGCTTTCATCAATTAGGGGGGGTCAGTTTGACATCAACTTCATTTGGTAAAAATATAAGGTTTATGGGTAAAAAACACAGCAAAAAATAGCTGTTACATCATAAGCCTTATTTACAAAAACTGTTTACAAACATTTTTGGCTGTACAGCTGAAAGCCAGATACTAATGTAAGATGTAGAAGATGGAGGTAACAGTTTAAAAATATTGTGCAAAAAATACATTCTTATAGAAAATAGACAGACAGTGGGGAGGGGAGACACAAACACACACGGAGAATCTGCTTGCAAATAATCCGAGGCTAAGTTTTTACAACAGAATATTACAAAGACGTTTGTATTTATCCCCCACAATCTACAGTCCTTCTCAGTCTGGGGTGCTGCTGCTTCATTAAGGATTAAGGCATCACCATCACAGCCAGCACACCTTCTGTCTGTCTCAGTCCCTGCAGCAAAGCTCCCAGCCTGGGGCCCAGGTGGTCTCAAGAGCAGGCATTCTGCTCAATGTACATCTTGGACAAGGACACTGCCATGGACTTGGCCAGCTCCTCATCCCGTCTGCGCTGTACCTGAGTCTGTCTGCACCACGCCTCGTACTCTGGGTTGGGGCACACGCGGTCCAGCACAGCATCGTAGTGCCCATTGCTAAGCCAGCTCAGCCAGATACTGGGCCGTGTCGGGTCCTCGGGCCCCAGGTAGTGAACCATGGTGGAAACGGTGGGGCTCTCGGGCCGGCCGCCCGTGGTGAGGTGGATGTTCACGTTCAGCATCTGCCCCATGGCCAGCAGCTCCGGGTAGCCGGCCCAGGCCCCGTCCTGGGCGGCGCCGATGAGGAACTCTCCCACGTCGCCCTCGATGATAGGGTTGAAGTGGTCCAGGTGGTCGGCGATGTAGTGCACGGTCTGCTCGCGGAGCTCGCTGTGCAGCCGCTGGTCCCCGTACACCGCCTTGCAGACGGCGCGGTAGAGGCAGTTCCCGTCGGGGATGATGTGGAAGCGGAACCGGCCCTTCTGCCGCAGGTACTTGTCCTGCTTCTCCACCTCGGCCAGGTACAGCGCCAGCTTCTCCCTGCGCTCCGGCCTGCCGCCTGGCCCCCTGCGCACATCGCGACCCCCGCCGTCCTCCCCCTCCTCCTCTCCG